CCCCCATCAAGCCCTGCCGGGTGGAAGGTGCAGCCTGAGGTCCCCTATCAAGCCCCACGGCGGGGGTTGTGGCCTCAGGTCCCTGCTGATTGCTCCTTAAGGCTTGTTATGGGAACTCAGCCTCAGCTGTGGGTGCAGCCATCTTTGTGGCGGAGGGACAGTTAATTTGCATGATTCTCTCTTATTATATAGGATTGTTGTACAATTATGTTTATATGGACTTTTAATAAAGTTTGCTGACTTATGCTCAGCCCCTCACCCATATTCAAATTCTCAGTCTGTTGCTTACTAGCTGGACCAAGTAGCTTAATCTCTAGCCTTCATTTTGCCCATCTCTAAAACAGGACAATAGTACCAACCTCATCGGGTTACTGTGAGAGTTAAACGATCTAGGGCAATCTAGCATGTGGAAAGCATTTGGCGGTGTGCTAGGGTAAGGAGTCACTTCTGCCTCTCTACCCACCTGCCCAGGCTCCCCAGCAGAGGTCCAGCCCACAGTCTGTTATGACCGGATTCCCACATTCTGGTAACGTATTATTTCTGCAGCTGGGGCATTTGTCCAACCCCAGGCTTTCCTGCTGGCTCTGGCCCCTCGGCAGCCAGCTGGGCCTTAGGGCTGGGCCTTAAGCCAGTCTGGAACTCCAGCCAAATCACTGAAGCCAGGGAAGGCCAGTTCCAGAACTGGTTGAACTCAATTTGCTAAAAGGAAAAGCAAATTGTGGTGGCGAGTAATCAACCCTACAGCCTTTAGCTGGGGCTATTCCAGTCCCCGGTAGGCAGAAGTTGACTAAGGTGTGTGTTTCTGGGAGAGTAGAGGTGAGATTTAATCTCTCAGACACCTGGCCCTGGAACAGGCGAGGAGGGAGTTTTGTAACTGAGAACACTGGATATTCTAGTGAAATCATAAGCTCAGCCCTCGGCGGTCTGCTAGAGGCCAAGAATCAGTGTGGGGTAAATGGGACCAGATGCTGGTACTCCCTGGGAAATATTTACCTAGCACCTATAGGCTTCTAGGTATGCTAACCTGTTTCAATAGAATGACACAAGGCAAAGGGCTTTCAACATTTTATTCTAAACTAGAGGCCTGGTGCATGAAATCTGTGCACTGGAAGAGGGGAGGGGGGTCCCTCAGCCTGGCCTGTGCCCTCTCACAGTCCGGGACCCCTTGCTCCTTACCGCCCGCCTGCTCGCTGCTCCTTACTGCTTGGTTTGCTGCTCCTTAGTGCTACCGTGGAGGCAGGAGAGCTCCTGCCACCGTGGCTGCTTCGCTCACCAGCCATGAGCCTAGCTTCTGGCTGAGCAGCGCTCCCCCCATGGGAGCACACGGACCACCAGAGGGCAGCTCCTGCTCTGAGCCCCTGGTGGTCAGTGCACGTCATAGCAACCAGTTATTCTGATCATTCTGCCATAATGGTCGCTTAGGCTTTTATTATATAGATAGAAAATTTCAAACATATTCAAAATATTGTATAATGAACCTCCATGTATATCTATCATCCAGTTGACATGTGTCAACTCATGAGCCATATTATTTTTTAAATTTATTTTAGAGAGGAAGGGTGAGGGAGAGAGAGATGGAAGCATTGATTGTCTGCCTCCTGCATGTCCCTGCTGGAGCTTGAGCCCGCAATCCAGGCATGTAACCTGACTGGGAATCGAACCAGTGACCTCTTGGTACCTGGATTGATGCTCAACCACTGAGCCACACTGGCCAGGCGAGCCGCCTTATTTCTTCTATAACCTCCACCTACTGGTTCTCTTCTGCAATGTTATCTCACATTGATGCTCATTGCCTAGATCTATTAATTCATTAGAAGCTACAACTGAATGATGTTAAAATGATATTTGTCTGGCAGGTGTGGCTCAGTGGTTGAGCGTCGGCCTATGAACCAGGAGGTAAGGGTTCGATTCCCCATCTGGACACATGCCCAGGTTGTGGGCTCAATCTCCAGTGTGGGGTGTGCAGGAGGAAGCCCATCAATGATTCTCTATCATCATTGATGTTTCTACCTCCCTCCCCCTCCCCCTTCCTCTCTGAAATAAATAAAAAATATTTTAAAAAATGATATTACCTTTTCTTCATTTGTTAGCTGGAATACCTGTGGAAAGAGAGACGTCCTCTTCTCTACCAATTGGTTACCCAATGGTACAATTCACATGGGAAAGGCAAGATAAATGCTTGATTCTTTTTCTCCCCTAGTTTCCAAAATAACTACTGGGCTCCCTAACATCCTCCAAAGGTAAAGAATGAGATTCCTTTTCTATCTGTTTATTGTGAGAATACACAAGTCATCTTTTCCGTCAAAGAACAGTTTACACAGCCGCCATTTCGGCCCGTGTGACTTGGCAGCCACCAAGTTGGCCCCATGACTTGCAGCTCCCCTGGGGGCCACCATCTTGAAATGGCAAAGGCCAACCCCTCCCTTTGAATTAGCCAATCCCGAAAGACTGTGCGCCTGAGCTCCAATCAAGAGTGAGGGACAGGTCACGTGTGTCAGGATAAAAAGCCGAGCAGACCACCTGCTTGGTGTGCGTGTGCTCCCAGACGACGTGCAGAAGTAAAGGTGTTTGCCTTGCTGCCTGGCTCCCGAGTATGCTTTGTGTTCTACCAGGACCCCGGAATTTGGGGGCTCGCCTTATTTCTTATGTACCCATGAAGTTACTGAAATGGTCAATACCTGGCAGTTCTTATCTTTACTGATAATCAAATTATTATTCCTTCCTTTGGCCAGAGGGATCCTCTCCACTTTGACTCCTGTGTTCTTTTGACAGGACTCTTAGGCAGCTTTCTTACTTTATGATGTAACTAAAGACTCCAGGAACATCTTGTATGTTTCTTGCCTCGGGCCTGGGATCAGCCATTTCTCCAAGGAGCTCTTGTTTCTTTGATTGGAGAGTGGTACTTAGAGATCACAATCAAGGTGCTAGGGGCGCTAGTGGCTACTGGGTTAGTTGTTGTTTCTAGGGCTTTAAAAAAATTTTTTTTTATTGATTTCAGAGAGGAAGGGAGAGGGAGAGAGAGATAGAAACATCATGATGAGAATCATTGATTGGCTGCCTCCTGCACACCTCCTACTGGGGTTCGAGCCCGCAACCTGGGCATGTGCCCTTGACTGGAATCAAAACCGAACCCTGCAGTCCCCAGGCTGACACTCTATCCACTGAGCCAAACTAGCTAGGGCTCTAGGGCTTTTCATTGGACAGAAGTAGGAAGCCCTCATTTTTTAAAAAATAAAGTACATCATGAATTTATGCTGATACTTCCAATTCATATTCGAGTTAAATGACTTTTACCTTACCTGATCAATCTTATACCTGTATTTTCTTTTCCCCACACTGAAATACCAAATACTCAATGACACCAACATTTCCTTTATTCCACAATACACACAGATCAAATATCAGGATAACATACCAATAGTACTTAGTTTAAACGATGTGATTATTGAAAAAACAGTTTAAGACTTTTTTTCTGGTTCTTTTTATTCTCTGGGTATATCCCATTGGGGATGTGCCATCAAATTACTGTGCTATAGTATCACTTGAAATAGTTTCTTTCTATAGTTATGCTATTAACCTGAAGCCTTCGATTTCTAGGACCCATCTAGAAGTGGAATTGATGGGTAATATGGTAATTGTATATTTATTTTGCAGGGGGGAACCTCCATACTGTTTTCCACAGCAGCTGCACCATTTTACATTCCCACCAGCAGTGCACAAGGGTTTCAATTTTTCCACATTCTCACCAATGCTTATTATTTTATTTTTTATAATAGCCATCCTAGTGGGTGTGAACTGAGGGGATTATTTTAAAAATATAATATTACTAGAGGCCCCGTGCACAAAATTTGTGCACTTGCGGGGGGGATGCCAGGCCAAGGCAGGTGCGAGCGGGGGTGGGGGGGGTGCCCCCGATTGCCCCACCGGTCGCCGTCTGTGGGGTGACTGGTGGGGCGATTGGTGAGTGGGTGGCGCCAGGCCAAGGCTGGTGTGAGCGGGAGCCCCGATTGCTCCGCCAGTTGCCCCACAGATTGGCCCTGATCACCAGTCAGCCCTAGGGACCCTACCCATGCATGAATTTTGTGCACCAGGCCTCTAGTGTGTGTGTGTGTGTGTGTGTGTGTGTATATATATATATATATATAAATCTATTTTGCTCTTTTTCTACTTAACACTGTTTCCAGTATATAGAGATCTTTCTTATTCCTTTTTACAGCTGCATAGTACTCCATCGTGTGGCTGTGCCATAGTTTATTTGACCATCCCTTATTGATAGACATACAGGCTATTTCCAGTCTGTTGATATTTATAATAATAAAAGCATAATTTGCTAATTAGACCGGACAGCTGAACAACCTTCCTGATGAAGCTGGGGCTGCAAGGGCTGAGGCAAGCCACTGCGGCTGCAAGGGCCAAGCCTCTTGCACGAATTTTGTGCATCGGGCCTCTAGTTTTAAATAATGTTCCTATGAAAAGCCTTGTTCATTCATCTTATTTTTGCAAGAGAATCATTGAGTTTTTCCCTCTAGGTCAGCGGTTCTCAACCTGTGGGTCGCCAACCTGTGGGTCACGACCCCTTTAGGGGTCGAACGACCCTTTCACAGGGATCGCCTAAGAAAACACATATATAATTACATATTGTTTTTGTGATTAATCACTATGCTTTAATTATGTTCAATTTGTAACAATGAAAATACATCCTGCATATCAGATATTTACATTACAATTCATAACAGTAGCAAAATTACAGTTAGGAAGTAGCAACGAAAATAATTTTATGGTTGGGGGTCACCACAACATGAGGAACTGTATGAAAGGGTCACGGCATTAGGAAGGTTGAGAACCACTGCGCTAGGTGGATAAATGCGTATCTAATTTTTTCAGATATCACCAGTTTTCCTCCCCACTAGTAAAGTATTCAAGTAGGTAAAAAAATTAACAAGCTAATGATAACAAAGAACGAAAATAAAAAAATTTAACAAGCGTTTTCATTTGCTTACGTCACTTCGCAGTCCCACTAGTGAAGTATGCCAGGGTGTGAAACACTCACAAGCCTTTTATTTGGTCTGGTGGCGTCCTATGTGCTCTTCAAAACCCGTTCCTTTCTAGGAGGCCTCCCCTTCTCTGGCCTTCTCCTCTGGGCTTTCCTGGCTCCCGTCTGCTTTCTCTGGCTCAGTCCGGACACTGGAGGCTGGGAGTGTCTATGTCCAATTCCATACTCTCCGGACTGGGAGCCTCCCGAGTGCTGGCTCCAGAGCTGACTCTTCCTGAGATGTCAGCACAAGACTGGGAACAGAGAAGTGACAACAACGGACGGTTTTCTCACTAGGCCTAGGACAGCCCCTTAGCTCCGGGCCTCCCTGGCTGGGATATCCTGGCCAGAGGGAATGAACCAGGTCAGTTTGGCCAATATCCTGGGTTCTGCTATCTGCCCTCTCGCTGAGTCACCTGTGTCCAAGGGCGGTGACCTCACTGTGAGTGGGTGTCACCTGCATGGTTCTCAGGCAGAGGAGTGGAACTGCTTGAGGTCAGGGAGTTCCCACGTACAATCCAGGCCTCCAGAACATTTTCCTCACCCCTGATGGAAACCCAATACTGACCGAGTGAGTAATCACTGCTGGTCCCCCCGCTCTGCCCCTGGCAACCAGCAATCTGCTGTCTGTCTTTAAAAGTAACCCAGTCCCGGCAGGACGGCTCAGTTGCTTGGAGCGTCATCCCATACATCAAAGGGTTTCGGGTTCGATTCTCGGTCAGGGCATATACCTAGGTTGCAGGTTTTATTCCTGATTGAGCCATGTATGGGAGGCAACTGATCGATGTTTCTCTCTTTCTCTCTTCCTTCTTCCTCTCTAAAAATCAATACAAGCATATTCTCGGGTGAAGATTAAAAAAAGAAAAAGAAGAATTACCCACCCTGGACATTTCATATAAAAGGAATCATACAATGTGTGTCCTTTTGTGTCTGGGCCTTGTCACTCAGCGTAATGTTGGCGAGGCTCATCCGTGTTGTACTGCGTGTCAATGTTTCATTCCTTTTCACGGCTGAGTACCGTTTCACCGTGTGGATGGACCATCTGGGTTGTTTCCACTTTGGGCTAATGTGCTAGTGCTTCTATGCACATGTATGTACATGCTCTTGTTTGACTACCGTCTTCAATTCTTTTGGGCCTATATCTTGGAGTGGAATTTTCTGGGTCATGTGGTTACTCTACGTGTACTCTCCCCCCACCCCTTGTTTCTCTACATGTACCCTTTTGAGGAACTGCCAAAGCCTCACCATTTATTTTCACACACTTTAAATCTCTGATGCCTCCCAAAGCCGAAGAGGAGAGAATTCTAAGTGGAGGATTCTAAGTCTTCATTTTGCAGCCAAGGAAACCGAGGCTGGGAGAGGTGGTCCCACACCATCCCAGGCTAATGACTAAGAAAGCCCCCCATCCGCCTCGTCACCACTGGGTGCCAGACACTTGCTACAGAGGATCTGAAAACCGGGTCCTCAAAAGCCTCACTGTCTCTGGAATCCAACAGGTCTGGGTTTAACCCCCAACTTGGGCAAGTGACTGCCTCCCTCTGAGCCACTATCTCGCTACCTGTAAAATGGGTATAATCAGAGTCCCTGCCTTATTGTGGAGAATGACTGTGGTCACGTAGGCAGAGGATGACACCTCTGATTTACAGATGGATCAAACAACAACAAAAAGTGGTCGATGCGTTCAGAGGGGCGGAGTAACTTGCCAAGAGTCACACAGCGATTGGTAGCTGGGTCCAGCCTGCAAGGACGTTTGAGAAGTTTCCTGAAGCGGAACCCTTCTGGGAGTTAGTGAGGAGAGATTCCCGAGGCAGGTCCTCTGGGCCGGGTGGGGGTAGCTCGCTGCTGTGTCGCTTTGCTCTTTGGGGAGCTGACCTCGGACTACACAGAATCCTGCTGAATCAGCCCTGGGTGGCCTGTGGTCACGAACCACAACTGGTTCTCTGACGGAGGTAACTTTTGCCCCAGCCCACTCGCTCCCTTTGCTTGCTGTATAGTTTATATCAGCACAGCTGGGGGCAGGGTCACTTCCTATGCCCTAAACAGGCAAGGCCAGGTACTTCCTTGCCTCTAGTTGTTGGCTCCAGCTGGTCCCTCTGCTCTGCCCCTCCTCTCTCTTTCTTCACTTGCATACCCTAGAACAGTGGTCGGCAAACTCGTTAGTCAACAGAGCCAAATATCAACAGTACAACGATTGAAATTTTTTTCGAAAGCCACATTTTTTAAACTTAAACTATATAGGTAGGTACATTGTTATTAACTTAATTAGGGTACTCCTAAGGCTTAGGAAGAGCCACACTCAAGGGGCCAAAGAGCCGCAAGTGGCTCGCGAGCCACAGTTTGTCGGCCACGGCCCTAGAACCATCGTGATCCAGTTTCCACCAACCCCTCAGACCTCCTCTCCTGTAGGTGTCCCGCTCCAGCCCATTGGTCTCTTGCTCCTTGAGAATGCCACCCTTGTTCAGCCCCAGGGCCTTTGCACTTCTGCTGACTTTGCTTGCAATGTTCCCAGTCCCTCCCTTCCTATGTGACTCTGGGATTACGGATACATTACTTCCCCCGAGAAGCCTAAACTAGGTTCCCAGTCCCTCCCTGTGAACTCATCCTACAGCTAATCCCAGCCAATTTCGACGTTGCCTGTCTGCCCTCCTCCAGGGTGCTCTAACCATTAGGATTTCTGGCCCAGGCGGAGAGGAATCGGAGTCGCTCTCCAGCTGGAGAGTGAGGTCATGGCACCTTGGTCCTCCTCACTCCCTACCACTCCCCAGCAGCACCCCCACTCTCCCCGCTTTCTAGGGGAGCACATCTCCATCTCTCTCCTTAGTTTCTGAGGCCTAGGGCCTCTCCTCCCTGTACGTACTTCCTGCACCCATCTGGCTCTTCATTGCTATCAACTCCTCCTCCCTCTCATGCACTCCCCTCCTCCTTTGCTATCTTTCTCTCTGTCACCTTTTCCCTTTTCTCTTATTCTCCATTGAAAACTCCAGCTGCGGGGGTGGGGGGAGGGTGGAAGGTGGGTGGGGGAGTGGGGAGGCAGAAAAGAAAGGAAAGAAAACTCCAGCCTCAATGTAACCCAGGTAAAAAAACTTGAAATCACCTGTGACTTTTCTCTTTCTCCTTGTTAACAAACAAATGAAGCCATCCCAGAGGAACTGTCTCATATGTCTTATATCTCAAACATCTGGAATGTTGAAACGGTGAAATAACCTTTGGACTGGGCCTCAAGCAACATTGTGCCTCGAGGAAATGTTTGCAAAGATAATAAGAAAGCAGGTATTATGACTACTGGAACGGATGACTACTGAGCTGAAAATTCAAAACATTGTTTAGAGCCCTAGCTGGTTTGGCTCTGTGGATAGAGCGTCGGCCTGCGGACTGAGGGATCCCGGGTTCAATTCCAGTCAAGGGCACATGCCCAGGTTGTGGGCTCAATCCCCAGTAGGGGGTGTGCAGGAGGCAGCCGATCATGATTCTCTCTCATCTCTTTCCCTCTCCCTTCCTCACTGAAATCAGTAAAAATATATAAAAAAACAAAAAAACATTGTTTAGAATGAACATCACTATGTTTGATGTAATTGTTCTCCTTCCCTTTCTCATAAACACCCCTGGTGTTTTTCCCTAATTGGAACACTATTTGGGCTTCTCTCTGAATTAATGATTCCCAAATAACTATTCTTTCTTTTTAAATTTTAACTGATTTTTAGAGAGAGACAGAGAGAAACAAAAAATCGATGTGAGAGCAGAACATGGATCAGCTGCCCCCTGCACGGGATTGTGCCCACAATCTGGCCATGTGCCATGACCCGGAAGCGAACCAACAACCTCTTGGTGCACCGAATGACGCCCAACCAACTGAGCCACACGGGTCAGGGCTATTCTTATTGATCTCAAATAAACGTTTGTTGCCTCTCACTTTGAAAGGCCTTTTTACTTTTAGGTTAACATCTCACAACCACATCCAATCTGTCAGCGGATCCCATCAGCTCCACCTTTAAAACAAATGTCACATTCCACCAGCTTTCCCAACTCTCAGTACCTCCGTTGCTGCTCTGCAGGTCCAAGCCTCCGGCCACCTCGCTGGTCTCCTCCTGCCGCTCTTGTGCCCTCTTCAGTTGGCCCATAATATTGCAGCTAGAGGGAGCCGGTTAAAACCTGTGAAACCCCAGCCTTCCTCTGCTCAGAACCCTCTGTGGCTCCCACCTTTCACAGAGGCCTGAGTCCGAAAGCTGAGGGTGGAAGACCATTCAGACTTTAGCCATCTTTGATGTCCAAAACATTAGGTCCTTCCTCAGGCCCTGCACGATCCGTTTTGTCACCTCCCCACCCTCATCTCCTTTCACTCCCCGCCTTGCTTACTCTGCCCCAGCCTCTCTGGTCTCTTGGATGTTCCGGAAGACACAATCCAGCCTCGGGGTCTATGCACAGACTGTGCCCTGTGCCTGGAATGCTCTGCTTCCAGGTATCCCCCTCCCTCACTTTTGGTCTCTGCTCAAATAGCACCTTCTCAGAGAGCCCTTCCTCATCTTACCTTGCTGGATTTCCCCCCATAGTCCATATCCCATAGATTACCCCTTTTCATTATGTTTCTTTTCCATGATGTGTTTCTAGTTGTGCTTTATGTAATCTCTCTAGAGAGCAGGAATAGGACCCCGTTTGTTCAGTATAGAACAAAACCTGGGACTCTCTATGGACTTGATGTTTGTTGAATGAATATGTGCTTCCTGCCAGCTGAGGTTGGGCAAAACGGGGTCTGAGAAAGACCCTGTCTACCCACGTGGAGCTCACAGCCCCATCCAGGCAGACAGTTGCTAACCAAATCACTCCAAGAGCAACTTTGCTGGGACTGAGGATGCACAGCAGATGTGGCTGCAGGGAGTATGGGCTTGACCTCAGCCCAGGGCTGGGGAAGCCTTCACAGAATATGGCTTTTGAGCTGCTTGTAAGACCCGAGGATCAGTAGGAGTAAGCTGGGTAGGTGAAGGGACAAGGATTGTAAGCATGGTGAAGAGTATGTACAAAGGCTTAGAGGTGGCAGAGGTGGCCTATGTGGGTTTGGGGAAAATGGCCACCAGTGGCTGGTGTGTGGACCTTGAGGAAGAGGGTGGCGAGTGATGAGTTGAAAGGGGCTGTTTGCCCCCCCCCTTCACCCCACACTCCTGAATGGCTGTTGTCTTTATGCTCCAAAATCTCCTTTATCTCCTGTCTTGTGTCTACCCTTCCGCCCCAGATTTTGTGCTCTGGGAGGCTGACTTGTATAAACCACTCAACACATTCCTTTGCCTTGTGGCTTCTGATTGGGTTCAACCAATGGGGAGCCACAGCAGGCATTGGAGGGAGGGAGGAGAGTAAGGTCAGGGTGTTAATATCTCATCTTCTTTCCT